AAAATCACCCAAAACATGCCTTGCTATCTAGTCATGTATGTTAACATTTTTCAGTGTAATTATTCTTATATACCTTGTATCTCAAGTTATTACTGTATTACTATTGAACCACATTTATTTACTGTTGTCTTTCTCTTCCATCAATACGTATCTTTTTGTCACCTTCACGCATGCTTATCAAAATCCAATGTGATTTTTCTGCTTAAATTGTTTTAACATTTGACAGCACTGATATTTTTAGATAGGGAAATAACTACCCTGGGCTAGAGGTCATTTTTAATGGTAAATTAGTTTACTGTCCATCCACTGTAATGACTTATTAATGTTATTAGAGCGTGACTGGTTTCAAAGGTTCAGTGTCAGTTTATAGCAGTGACAGAATTCTTGAATTGTTCATTTAAATGTGTTAACTAATAGACAAAGGATGACGTGTCTTACTTTGTGTTACTTTATTTGGATCAAGATACAGTAGTACAGCGTCCCAACTGTGGAGAATTCAAAATAAAAATAAAAGCACAGTTTGTGTGATACAGGACAATCAACAATCATGGATTATTTAAGAGAACAAAATGGAGGAGCAGTGGGGAGTGGGAGCAGGAACAGGGGAGAGTGGGAGCAGCAGGGGCAGAAAACGTTTCTTTATCAACACAGACATTACATTAATTCAAACCAGCCCAGTTCCCACCCCAGAATAAAACACGTTGCAGCCGTACGAACAAATCCTCCCGGTCCCTCACCCTTCTTTCTTTGAAAGCGTGCACTTGTTATGTCCTGTGAAGATTTGTGCGCAGCTGCCCTGAATGTTGGCTGACCGACGGCCTATAAATCTGAGTGACTGGGCCTGGGTTTAAGGGAGAATTGGGTAGATCTGATAATCCCCCAGCTCTGATAGCTGTAGTCAATTTACTTTTATGGTTCCGTTAACATCCAGGCAATAAAACGTCCCTCACAGGAAAAACAACGCTGTGGTTTTCTTGGTGTTTTAAGAGAACAAGACAGGTGAAGAGTGTTTGTCCAGGTCGACTGAGAGGAGACACAGCTGCTAATCAAAGTCATTGGCACAAAGAATGAGTGCAAGACACCGCAGGAGGAGGAAAAAGACAAGCGACTGCTACAGTCCACCTCCACTGAGGAGAAGGAAAGATAATGATGAGAAACATCCTGGGACCGAGTTGGTCCCTGAAAGAACTCGTTTGTCTGACTTGTTACTCAGCATCAGAAGACAGTTGGTTTAGCATAGACACATACATGCAGACATCACAACTGATTACCTGATCACAGGCAGTGATGAACATCATTGCTTTCCCTCTGTGTGTGACACAAACAAGTTTGTTCAACATCAGTCCTGTGGAGCTGAATCAGGGCAGAAGAATGACCCATCACTGGGCTGAGAGAGGAGGAGAAGGAACAGTTCCTGCTCCATCTGCTTCACTAAGTGTGTGTTAGTGTGTAACACTAACACACACGGCACAGAGATGGGAGTAAGAGCTGAACCACGTGAAGCTGTGGTCGACTGCAAGAACGTTGGTATCAATATGTACGGAGGAGGCTGAAGGAATCGGAGGGAGTAATGTAGGAGGGGCTGTGGTTAGCGATGCCTAGCTAAGCTGCTACAGTAGCACATTGTTTAACATGCATCACTGCACTCCACGTCATCGTATTTCTACCTTGGTTGAAGCAGACATTTACAGCAAACAGGAAGTTTAACCGAGAAGCGTGTGCTAGGCCTGAACATTAACTACAAATTAATAGTAAAAAAAAAACAAAACAAAAAAAAAACAGATAAAACAATTGTTAACAGCTTTCTTTATACATTTATCAGTTGTTCCTGAACATCAATAAATATCTTGTAAAAGTGTTTGTATTGTTGTTGGTTTCAGGTGTTTGTCTGGTTCAGCTGTAGGGTTGGTTATGCGAGGGTGAGAACTACGTAAAAGAAAAAAAAAAAAAAGAAAAACATTAAAGAATTGTCATGTGAGATTCAAAGTGTTCAACATTTGTTTTTTCCCCCCATAACGTACCACTGATGGCCTCCTGGGCAAAGTACTTAACGTCCATGTCTGTGTCTGTGGCCAACTTCTCCAGCACTGGCTTCACATCGGCCTGAAGAGCACTGGAGGAAAAAGACAGGAAGTGGTTAGAGCAGACACTTAGTGAATCTAAGGATTCAACATAAATATACAGCCAGTTCAGGAAGTAAAGAATATTATATGGAAAAAACATTTATATCTTTTCAAGTTCTCTCCAATGTTTTGACAGATGTTACAGAATAAATGTAGGATCTGTGGCTGGAGTTACTCCAACACTGACAATCTGGACAGATGAGGAACCACAGACTACGAGATTCATCAGACTGACAACAGTCTTCAACAGACAAGTGAAGACATGACACAGACTGCTGTCTGAACTCCAACCAACGTTATTGTATTTTATGGACTACAAGTTTTCTTTTTTTAGTTGTTTGGTCCTGTGACTGTCAAAAATATATCCCATGCCACCTATGGCCACAGGAGGGCACAGTGGACACATGACACTGACTGAAAAACTGCACAATGTAACCAATTAAAGATCTTTGTCTTCACTTCTTGCTTCTCACTAAAATTGGTTTTCTCTCCACTTCATCTTCCAACACTACTTCCTGTGTCCTAGCCTCTCATTTTCATTGGCATCACATGTTTACAGTTGGGTCAGTAATGAATTCATACTTGGTCTACTTACTGTATGTGGAGGTTTGAGTATAAAAAAAATACATTGATTGGCTGTGACTGAGGTCAGGTCAGTCCATATCTAACACTAACAGACTAATGTACCAACATTCTTAATTTCCATGACTAAAACCAGATGACACAGAAGTTTCCTGACTGGGATGGTCAAAAATCCGCGAGTGTCTTCAGCTTCACAAAAACATTGTCAACAGATTTATTTAGCCCGACTCTTCCAGGACTTCAATCATAAGTGCAAACCAATTATTCTGCTTCATTGGCAACAATAACTTACTTGCTGTCGAGGTACGGGCCAATCTTCTGGAGGGACTTGGCCACATTGAAGCGAACGTTGGCCACCTGGTCATTGGACATCTTAAGGACCACTGGCAGCATCTGCTTAGTGGTGATATCCTGTCCACAGGCCTGTGACAGAGCCTGCAGGAAGACACAGCCAAAGCACAAATCAAGGTTTTTGGATAAAACTGAACAATAAGGAGACTATTTACTCAAGAGAATTCTGGTGAGAATAAAGCCACTGGCTCACATTGATGCAGAAAAGAGTGGTCATCCTGTGGAGGTAATTGGGGTCATTGGCCATGCCCAGAACTTTGGGCACGATGGTGTTCTGAGCCCACTCAGCTCCAAACTTCTCCACCAGTTTGGTCAGATTGTTGGTGGCAGCTTCACGAATGGCATAGACTGAAAAGAGACAACATTCAACAAGGTCAGTGCTGCAGGTCTATGAATACACCTTTGAACAAGGTCTGAAAACAACCAGCAAACGCACAAAGACACTATGGAATGGACAGGGGTTTATATTTTATCATATCTGAACAGCAGAATAATCTAATGATGAGCAAATTGTGATTTTAAAGAGACAGAAATAAAGAAAATAAGCTTTTATTAGTCATCTTATTTGACTGTGTTGTTTGTTAAGTCATCAGTGAAACACCCATTGATTAACAATGGTCAGAGAGTTGTACTTTACAATGTCTGGGGTGGGGGGTACAGTGAGGGAAGAAAGATTTTGTTGTTAGCTCCAAACACCACAGCCCTTCCGCTCATGGGACTCAAACTGGCAATCCTGTGATCTAAAGTTTGCTTCTGTTACCACAAAACCATAGGCTGCACCCACATTTTGAAAAGATTTTTTTTTAACTAGGCTTACATAAGTGCACAGCTTTCACCCCCAAGGGTTTAGAGATTAGTGGTTTGTGTTTTGTAAAACCTGTGTATTCTTTAATCCCAATTTATAACTAAATCTCACATGTCCCTAATTCTAATCCCAACTCCAAAACAAACGCCTGGAACTTCAAAATACCCACTTACTCAGTTGAGGCCATAAATTGTCTCCAAAACAAAGTATTTTCCAAATGACATGGCCCCACAAGTATAGTAATACCAGGTTCACACACACAAACTTCTGACCAAACTGGCAACAGCTGCATTCCGATGATGTCATCCAGCTGGCCATTGTCCTCAGTAGTAAGTTAGTTTTTCTAATAAGAAAGCTCAATGTAAAGTTGAGCACGAACACACTGGGAATGAAAAATGTTTGCAAAGAAACTTCAAAAACCCAAAAGCTAACACCTGTCGTGTGCACAGTCCCCAGCTCTGGGTGAGTGTCCCACAGAACAATACTGAATGTTAAGTCACAATTTTAACCTCCATTATAAACACAGTACTGCAGGGTGTTGTCCTCAACACTCAGGTTAGAGTAAGTAGGTTAGAGGGAAGTACAGACCTTTACAAAGTAATTAATTGTAAACCTCAATATCATCTGGGTTCCTCCTTAAGTATACAATGCTGCTCCTATAGCCGTGGAAGACAAAACTGAAGTTTATTTATCACATGCTCAGTTATAGACCTGTGCTGCTGACAGGCTGTGACTGACTAGAACATGTCATAGAAGTAAATATAAAAAATACATCTCAGGATACAACATTAAATGATTTTGAATATGTAAGCAGATTGTAAGCAAAACAATTGTTTTTTACCACTACACTAATACACATAACGCCACACACACACACACACAAGTGTTGTCCACAGAGTGTTACGGCTTATTTTGGGAGTTCTAATAAGGTCAAACCATTGGAACCATTTGTTGACTGAGCTGTATTTAAAAGGTTTCTATGATAAACATATTCTCTCTTTGAGGGAATAGTAAACGACATGAAGTAATATCACCTGTTTGACCCCAAACAGTGGAGAGTAAACATCCCTCTGTTCTGACAGGGTGGATGAGGACTAAAGAAGTGGACTGCATCAACCAACTACACTGCATTATTGAATGTGGGAGTGGAACTGAAGGAACACTGAACAGTGTTTGTTTTGCTGTTGAGTTACAATAACAAAAGTCAATGCAAAACACTAGGCTCCTACTTCAGAAAAATCACATGACACTCCCTTACTTTCTGGCTGACGTGCCTTAGGATAATTGTTAGTTAATTGTGCACTAATGCCTTTTTTAATCACTGCGGTACTTCAATCTATAGTAGTAGCATGTTGCTGTGAACACAGACACCACACTGAGAACAGAGCTAACATTAGCTAAACAATCCTGACACAGAAACTGCCCACATTAGACCACATGACAGGATTCAGAGCCAAAAAAGTCTTCAAATGTGGAATATAACAGTTGTAATTGCACTGTGAGTTTGTTCAAAATTGTAAATGTAGTCATGCCATGAAAAAAACATTTATTTCTTTAGTCCTTAAACAAAATTAATTTGAATTTCATAAATGCTGTGTGAAATATTTCTTATTTTAATAAATAAAACATTACATTAATTAAATCTCATTGTGCTCTATGGACATAAATACATATTAAGTGTCTTACCGTGGTCAATAAGCCAGGCCATGCAAAGAGTGTTGAGCTTTTCATCAAAGAATTCCACTCCCTAAGGATTAAAAGAACAATAACAATGACTTCCTGGTCACCATCAGCTGAGCTCATATGTGTTTTGTTTGTTAAAAAACAAACAACCACTGTAACTTATCATGGTTTCAGCATTCATTTTAACTGCATGACTCACCAGTTGTCCTGCCAACAGAGGCATGTACTCTATGATGGCGAGGCGGACCCTCCACTTAGCATCTTCTGCCAGCTCCACGATGGCAGGCAACAGTGACTGAGAGAGCTGGCGGATCCCAATCACCTCGTTGACACAGTCGAGGTTAGAGATGATGTTGAGACGCACCTCGGGGCACTACGACATCAATCAAGACGATATTTGTTAACACAAAAGAGTCATCCACTATTGCTACTAAACAAAAATGTCTTCCATCTGTGTTTTTCTTCTGCAGCCACACAATAGGAGCCGTAAATGAAGATGTTCTACAGTCTTCTCCAAGTGCAGCAACTAAACAAATTCAGTGGCCACCTTAATTCCAACTCTAAACAATCAACCAACAACCAACCATCTACACTCCATTCTCTGATGCTTATCTCACCCTAGGCCATGGGGGCAACTGCCCAAATAGAAGCCAAGACTTCACTTTCATTCTCATTCATTCTCTGCTGGTGGAATCTCAATTATTTCCATGCCAGAGACACAAGGTCCCTCCAGTGCATCCTAGGCCTGCTCCCAGTGGAACGCACCCAGAAAACCTCACTAGGAATATGTTCAGGAGACATCCTAACTTCATCTAGCTCCTCTCACTTTAGCTTCACTGAGACTGAGCTTCTTCACATTTCTCTACTCAAAACTCAGACACCTTGGCTGGGCATATCATTTGTGATTTATTTGAGCTACTCTGTGTCACTACACTTAAAACAGGTGGGTTTTTTTGGATAAAAAAAAAAAATTTAAAACGATAAAAAAAGAACAAAGGCAGACAAAAAATTATGTCCGTTACACTGCACTAAATCATCATAGTATGGATTCTCTCCCTGTGACAGGCCTGTTGTTACCACTGCAGCAGCAAATCATTCAAAATGTCTGCAAAATCAAAAATTAAAAAAAAAAAAAAAAAAAATTAAAGTACCGTCCATCACGACAAATATTTAACAGGAACTGTTGCCAGGCTCATCAACTTCTTAACCTTGTATGTGATATAAAATACAGCAATTCCTTTCATGCTACACAAATGTTTTTTTCTGGCAGCAAAGCTGCATTTCCCTTACCTCATCCTTGAGCTGTGCCAGGAAGAGTGGCAGTAAGTGCTCTATTGTGTTGTCCTTGCCCAGAATGGTAGAAAGACCCATAATGACGGAGGCCAGGGCTGACTTCACATGTTGGTTGGTGTCTGACACAAGTTCCTGTGTGGGGTGGGGGGTGGTGCAGGAGACAGAGGTTTAGGAGGCAACAGGACTTAGGTCAGGCAGTGAAACAAATAACTACCATACCTTTGGGAATAATAATTAAAGAGAAGCAGACTATAATTAACTGTTGCATTAAAAACACAAAGTCATCTAGACACCAGGGCAAAACTACTTTAATCATGTCCTGGACAACAGCCAACCTTATATAAACATATAAAGGTCAAAGTAAAAAAAAATTATTAAAAGTATTAAAAAACAACTACAACAAAAAAAAACAGCACAAGTAGGTTGAGGATATATTTAGTGGTCCTTTTTCTCTCGACATTTTTACACTTAAAATGTCCCTTTAACTTTCTATGTCCGTGAGTCTGATTGTAGCTACCTGTATGACGTTGTTCATGTTCATGTTGATAGTGTTAACAGAATGACACTGTGACAAACAGTTCTTTACCACTGAAACTCCTGTCACCTTTAGTTTGCTGTTACACGTACTAAAGAGCCAACGGGAAAATATTTTAAAATGAAAACGTCTATGATTGAACTAACAGTAAAAGAACAACAGTGCCACCTGCTGTTAAAAATATTACCACCACAGAAACTTAAGGTTTATCTTTGGCAAACATCGTCCAAACGTCCCTGTGAGCGTTTTGCATTGTTATGGGTTGACCTGATGTTTCCACCATCATGAGCAGCAGGTTTCATGATGCAGCAGAACGGAAGAGTTATTTCCACAGTTTTACTCTCTCATTCTGGAGTCTAGTAGTTTTAGGTCTGTCAGTGGTTGTTAAACAAATGACATAAAACCATACAAAATATACATTTTCTGTTTTTTACCTTAACACATGGCAGGATGTGGGTCATAATGATTTGCTCACGACTGTCCTCTGGGAGGTTCTCACAGAATTCTGACAAAAGAAAAAAGTAAAATAAAAAACTGAAACAACATACAGGTGTGTATTGGGCTTTGAAACTTGAAATAATCACTAACTCATTTGTCTAACTTATTTGTCTTGTTTAATGTCAATGTATCTGTGCAACAAGAGTTTACACATTTCATACACAGCTGATTGCTCAACAATCACAACTTTCACGATCACATTTGAACCTATTAGAATAAAGAGGTTAGTTTGACTGCTGATTTGTAAGTTTCATTTTAGAAACATGCAAGTGCAATTGTGATCCATTAATCGTCAAATTAATCTTTTTTTGGAAAATACCATCAATAATCAGGATTCGTTTTTATGAACAACCCTGGTGTATTGGCAAGAATTTGGCGAATAAATATGATAAATCGTATCATCATGTTTAATGTCAATGTATCTGTGCACCAAGAGTTATCAGTAATTTTGTTTACAGGTTACTAAATTGGCACAGAGGGATTTACATTTGTAATCACAAGAGATAAAAAAAGCAAAATAAAATGAACCAAAACTATGAATATTTGCATGTTATTTGTTTAAAAAATTAATATGGTGCTGTAGAATATTGATACAATATCATTGCAAATGTCAGTGTATTAAATTTTCTTACACACCTGAAACAAACAAAATGCAAAGCAATGATGGCTGAATATTTTCTCCTCTGTATGGTGACTGACCTTTGACTTTGTTTGCTGCAGCAGCACGAACCTCAGCTTCACAGTCCTTCAGAAGATTCTGAAAGGCTGGGACCAAATCGTTCTTGGTGATCTCAGGACCCACTGCTTTCTGGAGCTACACGGCAAGAAAGAAACCACATTTTACATTTTAACACAATTTAAAATGTGTTCTTATAGTCAAAAAATACATTATTATTATAAATGCAACAAGCTACATAACAAATGCAACAACAAAGGTTAAACTTGTTTCATGGTTTATTCTTTGCCCTTGCAATTAAAATGTGTAACTAGGAGAAACAGTATTCGGTTCACATGCAAAACTGCTGACTGTAAGACCACAGCCAAGTTAAACATTTAATCAAATAAAACCAGTTAGGAATGGACTTCTGTCAATAACTACTAAAGATATGTCTGTGACGATTCTCATTCATCCAGGTCACGTAATCCATAGATTTTAGTTGTAAGCAACTGTACTTCTTCTCGGAACTTGAAAGACGTTTTGTTTCTTCTGTTTCTGATGAAACTGATGACGAATCTCATCAATTTATGATGAAACTGATGAGGAACTTCATCAGTTTTTGAGTCCAGTTGCTTACAACTAAAAGCTATGGCTATGGAAGAAATAAGGGGACACAGAAGGTAAACATCAACAGAACATCAGTTTGACTGTACCTATCCCCTTTATATAAAGTACACTACTTTTTCAAATACAGTTCACCAACTACACCCTCCAAGAGCAGGCACAGTGAAGCAGAGCAAGCTTACTTCAGAGAACTTGTCAGCAACCATGTAGCGAACCCTCCAGGACTTGTCCTCTGCAGCCTGGCGAAGGGTTGGCATCACTAGGGTCTCTAGGTCTTCCTGAGGCAGCAGTGTGGCGATGCTGACACAAGCCTCAACTGCCAGCAGTCGCACTGAGTCCTAAAGGAGATCACAGTAACACATCACGGTTCAATAAAGGGGTTGTGAAGAACCAGGTGAAATAAATAATAATAAAAAAGAAGTCATACCTGCTCATCAGAAGCCAAAGCAGTGAAGAGGGAAATGATGTCACTTTTTACATAATCCAGCTCCAAGACTTTGGCAAACTCCCCCAGTTTAGAGGCTGCAGCACGACGCACCATAGGAGTGTCATCTGAACACAAGGTACGGAAATGCCTACATTTAAAAAAAAGAGAGAAAAAAACCCAAAACAAGTTAGAACAATCTGGAAATCGTGGAATACTATTTTAAATTATTTTTATTGTATGTATAAAAAGATGCAACAGAAAAATAAAACAAATGAATAGATGTTTCATTCTAAAATTGCTGTTCATAGGAACGACACTTACTGGCGTATCTCAGCCTTGACAGTGCTGGACACACGAGGATAACATACACTAAACAGGCCACAAGCAGATGTGCGAGATGTGAACCAGTCGCCACTGGCCAGCCGCTTTACCAAAGGCTCAAAATGGACTTCCAGGTCAACTGGAGAATGCTCTTGAGAGATTTTGCGCAGAGACTCCACAGCTTTGTCTCTGACTACTGTTTCTTCCACTGTAGCGAGGCTCTCCAGGGGAGGCTGTATGTTTGGCAAACAGTGAAGGAGACTAAATTAGAATCTGTCTTTTCTTAAACAATATATTCTCAAATTGTACATTAACATGTCACAAAACATTTTGAAGGTCAACTATGAAGCACCTATATTTTCTTTACTAGTGATATTATTCATAGTTTAGGTAGACATGAGAACGGTTCAATGGTGACAATGATGTTACATGCTAAAAACATTTTTTAAAATAAAGCATTTAAAATGTAGTTTTCACAAAACAGCAATCCAACAGACAGTATTGTCAATTGTGGTCCAAATTAGATTTAATACTAAGCATTTTTTCAAAATAAAAATTCACAGAGATTAAAACTGTCACAAACTGACCAGGAGACAGTGGACATATTCAGGTCCTCCCACCAACATGGTAAAATTTCCAAGCTGCTCAGCCAAGGCCAAGAGGACTTCATCTTCATCATAGATAGTATCTGAAAGATGAAAAAGGCACATAAAACTCATGTGGAAACAATATTCTGTGACAGAAAAAACGACACGGACCAATACCAACTAACTAACATTAACGAGGTTTTAGAGAGTGAAGTGTTTTAATTTACTACCTGTGAGAAAAGGAAGAAGTTCAGTGCGAGTCCTCTCTACTCCAAGGGCCAGAGCAATTGTGGACAGTTTCTTGATGCTGTTCAGTCGTAACTGTATACAAACAACAAAAACAATAAAACACACTAATATTAACCTGGTTGGGTATATTTAGCATCTCCAGTGAATGAAGTAAGAAAAATCTGCTCACTCAGAATTATAAACATTTTTATTGCAGCAGTGGCTATTTCTTACCCTTTTAATAAAAACTATGATCAAAACTATAAAATATTAAGTGCTTTTTCCATATTACCTCTACCTATTAGATAACTTCATGTACAGTGTCACAAATTCAACCAACCCAAACATTAGCTCAGTCATCCTACAGAGTTTTACAATGTAAACAAAATCCACATAGAACTCCATTCATATGGATGTAAGTGATATATATATCAGTAAAAACGTGAAATAAACCATCACAAATACATACATGATGTTCTCAATGACCACAACTTTACATCCAAACTTTGGATTCTGCATAATGAGGTTTCTGTTGTTCAGAGACAGCAGTAGATCCAAATACCAGTTTGCTGCAGATCAAGAGCTATTTCAAGATTGTCTTTCTTAATTTGCCCAACACAATAACTGAAGGTCCTTCTATCCCAGGTCATTCAATTCTAGGACGTTCAGTTAACCAGCTAACTGCTACTTAGGTTAGTCTAATTGCCAAATGTTTAAAGTCTTAGATTATATGACTGAAATAAGCAATCAGATCTTTTTTAACCCACATTTAAACCACATTTTAAGACGCTTATTGACAATGTGTGCTTATATTTCTTTTATTTGAGCCTTTTTCTCGTTACTCCATTTTATTTTTAAAAGGCTTTTCTTCTCTCTAAATAATGACTTTCAATAATGTGGAACATTATAGATGTCTACTGCAATGTCACACTGTAGTCAGAGCATTAGTGTGAGAGTAATGACGCCAGTACTCATAGGCGGCGTTTCGTTACAACATTACCTGATATGTATGTTACTTTGTTGTACGAAATGCATCTAGTTGTATGAAATACAACTATAATCTTTATTTTTGTTTGGGTTTAATTTCTACATAAAGCGGGCTATGGTGTCCGGTTGTTATGATTGCTAACTACTTAGCACACCGTTGGTTCGAAACATTATGCTAGCGGCCAAAGTACACACCCGGTAGACTATATTGAGTCGTCACTGTTTCTTTGCGTAATTGTATTTCAACTGGTTGCAAATCTTTCCACGTCAAACTAGATTATTCCAAAAAATTATATGTGTAACAAATATCGAAATGCAACACTGAGGTACAATGACTAGAGGGGCTGTGCCCGCCCGGCAGAACGTTTCCGATCAGGCCTAGGCTAAGATGCTAGCCTTAGCATCTTCTAGGAAGGGAAAATTGCTGGACACGTCGTCACTTTTTTTGTTAAAATGAAAAAACAATTCAATGTGCAACAAAAAACAATACCTGAACATCTTCATTTCGCAGTTCGTCAATGAGAACGGCGATAGGGTAGAGAGAGTCGTCTCCATCAGCTCCTGCCATTTTGGATTCAGTTGCAGTTTTCGAATGGCGTTGAGGATCGAGTACGGGGTTTCTGGCAGAGGAGAGCGGCTGCAGGGCCCTCCCTTCACTGCTACGAGTATGATGACTTCACGGACCCTCCGACAAAAAACGCTCACAGTAATGACTTTAGAAACTATAAATATACCCCTTTTAATGTACACAAGGAGAACATCTATCTCTCCGCCGTCGACTTTAGATTAAGAATAAGAAAATGACTATTATAACTATATAACTATATATTATAACTTATAACTATGGCAACGCGTTTATTTAGCCTTCTAATATGTTGTAGTCGGTAAATATAAAACTGTAGTACTTTCCCCTGTAATCAATGGCCACATCTTTACAATATTGGCTTTTTATGACCCTAATGTACAGTATATGGTACTTCTATAGAGTTATTTTCACTGACACTAATTTGTTATAGTGTGTGAATTGTGAGTTCAACGTTTTATGTTGAAAATCGCGGTGCGGCTCACAAACACAAAACCCAGACATGTACGCTCTAGTTTGTATTTCATACCAAAAGAAAAAGAAAAATACTTTTAACTAAAATAGCAAAATAAAAATCAAAGCCTTATTTAACTTCCACGCTTTATTTCACAAACCGAATGTTCGGCGTCTGTGCATTTGTGCCACTTCTTCCTTTGTTCTCTAAAATACATACGGTTTGAAAAAGAATTGTAACCAATGGTAACTAAAATGGACACATTTTGAATAAAGCAATAATCAAAGTCATTATAATGATTACTTTTATTGTAATTCATGCTGCTGTTATTGTGATTAATAGTGGCTTAAATGAAATGAGGCCGAAGTAAATAAAGATGATTTTATTTACTAAGGACGACAAATTGAATAAAGGGAAATGTATAATAAAAAAGAAAAAGAAAAACTCTACTTAAATTAAAACTCAAAATGGCCAAAAAAAATTCACCGTTAATCAGACGTTTACTCTGTAAGACCACGAACCGGATGAAGTATTCAGTTTCCGATGCTTTCGTCACTCTGTACTGGTCATGATGGCGTCTCAACAACAGCAGGCCGGCGGGTCGATGTCCCAGCCCGGTTTATTACAACCTTCGTCAATACAGCAGGCTCAAACACAACAGCAACAACTCAGTCAACAGCAGGACTTTGACCCCGTTCACAGATTTAAGATGCTGATTCCTCAGCTGAAGGAGAGTGTGCAGGTACCGAGCTGAGCCAAAAAATCTCAAACTGCGTTTATGCGCTTACTACAGTTACTGTTGATTTGACCACAAACACAGAGTCTCAATAACATGCTGCAAACGTCATATTTATTTTCATTTTCAGAACGTCATGAAGATCGCTTCTCTAAATTTGGCTCATAATACGACCATTGACAACGGCACGTAAGTACTGTGATTGGATTGAACGTGTTTTACATTGATGCCCGTGATGTTTGATATTGATATTAAGTCAAATAAATAAAATTCCTGTGAGGTTAATGTGTATGTGTGATTTTTGTACAATTGTATCTCTTCTACAATTCTTCTGTTTTAGCAAAAGCAGTGATTCCTCAGTTCAGCGCTTTGACAAAAGCTTGGAGGAGTTTTATGCTCTGTGTGATCAGCTAGAGCTGTGTTTGGTAAGGCTGCAGTAGGTTTTGATTAGTAAAACATTATTATAGTGTCTGACGGGATTTTAAGTTTTTAGACCAAACACCCTTCTACTTTGCCAATCTACATGACATTTAAAAGCCCTTTTGAATAATGGCATATAGTTCATGTGTGTCAATGAACTGTGAGCCACGTAGTGAAACCACATTTCTGTTGTCCTGCACGTATTTGTGTAAACACTGTATTGACACCAACACTTTTTTTCCCTGTGTGCAGCGACTGGCCTACGAGTGCCTCTCTCAGAGCATCGACAGCGCCAAACATTCACCCAACCTGGTACCAACGGCCACCAAACCTGACACAGTACAGACAGAGTCCATGTCTTATGCCCAGTACCTGTGTATGATCAAGTCTCAGATCTCCTGTGCCAAAGATATCCATAATGCTTTGCTGGAGTGTTCCAAGAAGATCGCAGGAAAGGGACAGCCACCAGGGATGATGTAAACATGGACTCAGTATCTCGATCCTATCTGGATACTTCAGCCTAGTCCATGTGTAGATGAGTGTTTTCTGAAACTGTTTCTCCTGGGTGTTTTGGCCTAGTATTTACAGTTGGTTATTTCACTAAAGATGCATCTTTGGATAAAGGCAGATGATGTCATTAGTTTTCCAGTTTGATGTCAGGGAGAAGATTAATTTGACTGTATGCCGAAAAAAACCTGTGGTCTCCATTTCGCTCATTTGCTGGACACAGTGTGAAGTTATGCATTTTGGCATTGGCGACTGTGGTCAAAAATGTCACACATTTGACAGCACTGAACCGCATGTTTATGGAAAGTAAGAATGTGTAAGCATGACTATTTAAAATCAGAATTGGTCTCTAGCTTTGTCTAAAGACAAATCTTTCACCTCTTGTTCTTCAAAATATAAATCCGCCAGATTTGTAAATATTTTCAACAAAGTAATGTCCTGAGATAACCAGCAGGTGGTAGCAGAGCTGCACTCTTCTGAGGTCTTTAGTATTTTGTATTTTATTTGTACTGAACCATTAAAACCTTTTCAGAGTAAAATTTGCCTTTTTTCACCTTATTATTCTCTTTGGTGGTTTTGGAAACAGCAGCTGAATTTTTATTTTATCCAGAAGACAAATTATTTTCATTATTACATGTATTATGATATTGTGCATTAGTAAAGAAGACGGGATGTATTTTAAAAAACAGTAGGCTAGTGATATAAAAAAAAAGGATATACGATTGTATAAAATTGATTAAATAAGGTGCTCTCTAGTTTTTTTCTCTCAAAATTAATCATTTTATTTTCCCTGTTACATCAGATGAGGAAAATTTCATTTTAACCACTAAGTGCATTTGAACCGTCGTTAAAATCACTCCGGTATAAAGTTACTCGAGTATTGCGAAGAACATTTATCTAACACTTGACCCCAGTTGAGCTGCCCCCTAACAGTACATGGTTACGTGCGTTTCAAACTTCAACATTCGTCAGTTCAACATTCAACATTCTTCAGCTATGCAGCGAAACACCGCCCTCGAACTTCTGGTGGTACTGCTGCGGTTACTGGATTGGTATCAGTAAACTCCTAACCTAAAAGCGCCATAATTGAACGTAGCATTGAGCCACCTTCAACAAAGAAGTGCGTTGGATGGTTCAAATTCTGACATTTAGCTCCAGACAGATTTCTACCTACATTCTTATTACAACTATTTAAATATAACTTGCAGTTTCCTTTCAAACATGTTTACATTAGGTACATGATAAATATATTTAATAATTTCACTTAAAAGTAAACTACTTACCTTATCAGTAAATGCACCTCCTGTTATAAGCCTGTTAAAAGAAATAAAAATCAATACTCAATATCCTCCGATGCAGAGATAGAGTTGAAAAATGCTGACTGTTATGCTATTCTCTGTGGTGACTGACATAACCAACACAACACATTCATATTCAAATGCCCACATGTTTATTAGCAGATATATGCTTTTATTTTTAACCTCTAACAGGTACACTGTACAAGCTTGAATGAATGAAAACAGTCCAAATGATGACAAAAAGTTTGCTTTAAGTTGCATGGAAAAATATGAGAAACTAAAGTAACAGAGGAATAATATAAATATAAAACTTTTTTTTTTTTACAAAGATTACAGCAAATAAAATACATTAAGGTTAAAGAGAGGCTACTGGACAAAATTACAAAACTGACATGGTCAGTGCATAAGTGTATTCAATAGTTACCAAACTCATCAGTTTGTGTGTAGAACAGATTTTAGCAGGATATTTCATCTGGAGCTCTATAAAATCTATATACCTACATATTAAAACAAAATAATGACAATTAACTTCTATTAAAACTGCTTATGGAGTAAGATCTGTCTGTGTTGCTACATCAATATATGTATATAATTAATTTGATTTTATTCTCTCTTCTATGATTAAATACTCTAGGGGGAGTTCCATTAATATCTTTTACAGCTCTCCTAGCTGCTAAATTTAGTGTGAATTTATAATATGACCAATCAGCTGCGATCCCTGAAAATGTCCTGTCACTAAAGCTGCACTGGTCTGAGTTTAAAGGTAAGGCACGTTTACATACACAGTAGTGTGGTTTCAGTAGAGATTAATCAAATAGTAGGTAACAAATGAGTGTGTGTGTTTGTGTACACGCGAGACAGAGTGTAATAATGCAGAAACAGACTTTGATCAGCACATCACCAGAATAATTTACTCTTTTGTTGAAGCCAAGAACTTGACTTTTCTTTTGTCCTCACTCTGGTTTTTAGGTTGGTTTCTGAGGAGACAATGTGGACAGTCACAGTTTAAACAACAACAGAGATCAACATGACAACAGCACAACATTCACTTGTCCTCTGTCTGTCCACTGTCTCTCTCTGGTTGTGGTTTAATTCAAAGCTGTGACCCTACATGCTTGGTGTGTGTGTGTGTGTGTGTGTGTTTGACACTGACCTGTGGTTCTGCTCTGGAGAGGTGAGAGCCGCCCGCTGAACAGCGCGAGGTCGGACGTTCTCCAGTCGAGACATGGGGGCAGAAGGCTGGAACTTGGACACTCCCTGTTTCCACTCATCGTCAAAAGACTGAGCTTCAGCTGTGGGTGAAAGGTCAGGGTCACATCTAAGAACAACTCACAGTGCATTACCGCAGTGACTCCAGTTGACAGCCAGTTAAACAAAAACACATAGCCTTTTTTTCATTCCGGCGTACATTCATCCAGGTTCTGAAAGTCCTGAACGAATTCCTTCTCTCCCGTCTTCTTATTCAATTTCTTCTCAACAACGTGTCCTCGGTCCTGGATGTGGTGGCCAATGGACATCTTCTCAACACCACTCTCAGAGTCTTTGAGCGCTTTCCTGGTCTCCTTGATCTGGTGAAGATGGAAAAAAAATATTTAAAACAATCGAAGCATTTCTCATGATTTAAGAGCACCTTCTCTGTCCCTCTACAGTTCCTTGACCTTCTGTGGTTTCAGTTCCACACTCTATGTTCCAGAACCATCCAAAGATAAAGTGAACTCTGTTCTTTGCCCACCATTTCTCTTTTGACCAGCAGGTGTCCTTCTTTTATTAACTTTTTATTTATTAACAGCAACAGCAGTGTTTATTTGGTCAAAGACTGATATTGTCTCCCTTTTTTCATTTTCCTCTTTACTCTGAAGAGAGAATCATCTCAGTCTGTGTGTGTTCCCTCCAGAAAGAGACTCTAAAATTTAGACAAAGACATTTTCTTGCAAGAAAATAAAATGTACAGGTACAACATTTTTATTTTCCACAATATCCTTTAGTCAGTCTACGAGAAGTGGATTTAAAAGAAAAATTATATATATATTTTAATTTCTCAACGAGGAAATTGTGTAATAACATGCTGAGATGACTATTATTTCATTTGGAAATAATGCACCACGGTCGGTGGACATGTGACGGTGGACTTACACCTCCAGGAGCGCGGCGTGTGGATGAAGACGCCTGGAAAACCTTGGCGGGCTCATCCCCAACCTTTGAATACGTCATGACTGAGGAGGAGCTGAACGAGTGTGTGTTGGAATCTGAGGACAGGTTCCCCTGGAACACACACACACACACGTAAATAAATCAGTTTATGTCTGAGAAAGGAGCCAAAAAAAGAAGAAAGAGGAAAATGAAACGTACAAAGTTCTGGTGCATGTCCTCCACCCTGTTCCTCATGTTGGCCATCATGTTGTCAAACATGCCGAAAGGATTCCTCATCATGCCCTGCACAAACACAGAGAGAATCAAACAACAGCTAAATGTGGCGCATTCAGGTGTCAAGTCTCTGCTGTGGGCTGAGGTTCAACACTCGGCTCTAGTTTGAATCTCTGGATTTGGAATGAAGACAACCCTTGTCTGCTCTGGGCTTGACTTCACAGGATGAGATGACTGTTACTCTGTTACTTTCAAAAGTACTGAAGTAGATAAACAGACATTCATTCATTGATTTTCTACCAGTTAACACTCTTTAATCATTGGACAAGGACAAGGTTTGACCCCAGACAGTTCTCCAGTTCAACACAAAACACATACAACAGTCAAACAACCATTCACACCTATGGCCAGTTTAGAGTAAACAAGTGACCTAATATACACTCTGCATGTTTGTAGATGTTTTAAACCCAGTGTCAGATTAGGTTTTTCTGCCGACAATACATTTCATAGAAACGAACTCAAACCTCAAAGAAAAAAATATGGAGTGAGTGTCATTTGAAACATATGTACCTGTACACATATAAAGAGTCTTTACTGAGAAAATACCATAAAGTAGGCATTTATTATTGACTGTGATTTAAGTTTGAGAGCCTGAACAGCTCAACTACTGCAGTCACTTCAAACTCATCCTTGTCCTGAACTCACTGTGACCTGAGTGAACCGACCCTGACCAGCTGTTCTGATATTCTTGGCAGGTTTGGACTCATAGGATGAAGCAGGTTCCTCTCTGCTCATTAACAGCTCACGAACAACCCTGTCATGTGACCAGACATCCAGTGAATCCAGAGAGCAGTGGCTTATATGCCTGGAACATTCACACATGGTCCAAAAACTACAAACCAGGTCTGACACATAGACACACACAGAGTATGATGAAGGAGTTCCTACTCAGAGAAATCAAAAGACAAACAAATCTGTCAAACTGTGGTTTTAAAAAAATCTTTAAAATAATATGAACTACTGACTCAAACAACTCCAGTTAGACTTCATCCATGTTTATTTCAAATTCAGTAAAAATAGATAAAATAATTGTACTTCAGATGTTGGTGGTAATATATAATATAATAGAAAGACAAGATCAAATATTGCTACAAACATCACAACACTACTGATTCTCTGAATTATTAAACAGTGAAGTAGTATTTTATCTCCCTATAGTATTTCTGCCAAATATAATCTAAATCCCAGTAGTTGTCCATGTACCATAATTTTAGAACCACTATTACAGCATTTGGTTGAAGAGCTGACCGTCGTGTCAGCACAAAGGTAAACGATCCTCTTGAAATTAACTATGTATTTACATGGATGTACTTGAGCAGCTTTGACACACACATACATGACACACACAACACAGAGTTCGTGTGGACATTAACTTGTTCGGGTTGTCTCACGCTGGTCACTAATCTGCTCACACAGCTACAAAGACCTCTCCATGTCACCTTAGCGTGACCCTTTAAGGCCACAGGCCGTCTGAGGGTGTAGGAAGCCAGGGGTGACAGGGCAGTGAGGTGGGGTGGGGGTGGGGGGGGCAGCCCCCAGTTACACACTGTTGTCTCTGGGCCAAGAAAACCACAGGTGCTTACGACTCTACGGCCCTGGATTAGCTTCTCAGCAGCCTTTGTGTGTGTGTGTGTGTATGTGTGTGTTTTCTGAGGGCTGTAAGTCACTGGGGTATTGTGCAGAATCAGAGCGTGTTGAATGACCAGTGTTCCATGCATAATTTGGAGGCATTGCCAAAGATTAGCGTGGCTTTAACGCTGAATCCCAGAGTCATTCTAGGCAGGCAGGAGTGGCTCTGTGTGTGTGTGTGTGTGCGGCAGGCAGCACAGAGTAGCAGGGTTCAAGGCTGCTCAGCTCAGCTCTTTCTAAAGGTCAAGCTGATGTAAAAAGGCCCCTTACCAGCATCTCTGAAGCCCCTCAGCCAATTTTATCTCAGAGCGGCATTCATGAACGAATAAATGCCACTAACATATCTGTGACCATTATATATAGACTGGTCAGATGTAAAGAGCAAATTGGAGCAGCAAAGCAAGAAACCTGACAGTGTTGATTCTGACTCAAGATCACTTTTCAAGCTTAAGATCTAACACTGTGTCTGAGTCACTGGTCTACAGGGACCTCTGGGATGGCCTGCATTACATTGCAATCAACATTACATTTGTACTTGAAAATAAATAACAGTGCTGACAACACACTGACCAGAGATAACAGTCAACAGTCTCAGCATAGACACACACGATTCTATGGCGCTGTACACCCCCAGAAACACAGTTCTAATTGTGAAACAAATATTCACACCAAAATTATCACTGTAATTTAATCCCCAATCTGGATGATTTTGCATGTAGGAGGAAGCTGAAGTACACATAAAAAATGAGAATGTCATACTGCAACACCATCAGTAACCACTGGGGACAGAACCAGTCTTTCTGTAAATAAATGTTAAAATTTCACTATAAGAAAAAGACGTGTAAATATCTAAATGTTTTAAAAGCAGTGTCCCAGTAGGACATGAACCAGGTCTTATCTTCCAGTCCTGCGGGACCTGATCTAGATCTGACACAATCTTCACTCAGAGTTTCTATTTTTATTATTAGTCTCTCTCAGTGTATTAACTTTTTTTAATACTACAATTTCTCTCCAAAAAGCAGGTGCTGCACATTCTGTAGTTTTCTTTAACCAAGTCGTTGTTTGATTAGTAAGCTCAGGGAAGTTTCTTTAACATTATTATTATTATTTACAAAATTCTACTTTTTTTCTATTGATGTTAGTATATATTGTTTTCCTTTTTAATGTGTTGATTGATTTCCATTTTAATGTGCAGACAGTAAAAACAACATTTGTTCTGTGAATACTGGGATTTACAGTACTTTACTTGGATGTTGTTTTGTTGTTTGAGAGCATGTGTCCCTGTGATATTGGAGAGCAGTGAGCTGTCCGTCAACTGGCAGTGACCGCAGTAGCACTGCCAAGACACATTCTGCTGGACAGATGGTCCACGAGAGTAACAAGGACTGTGTGTCTGTGACATCTGAACATATGGCTGCAGTGAGACGCTAACAGAAGCAGCACAGACTCAGCCTTCTGACCACTGCGGTGGACCAGAGGACAGAATGTTGTCCTCAGATGGAAGTGTGTGAGGAGTGTGATAAAGATCAGTGCAGTTCCCTGGAGTCTGTTAATATTTATTTTTACTCTTAAAATAGCATATATGAAGTGGAAGGTCAAATGAGTATGAAACCTTTGACTGAGTATTACTGTGTTTGATGAAGTAATGTGTCAGGAGGGAAATATGACAGTGTAGTAGGACTTCACCCGCTGTCACTGAGGTCATTTGTCAAGTGCTCAGAGCCCCTCCTCAGCTGGTATTAACTAGTTAGTGGCACAGTGATAATAAAGGGAAGCAGGCTCTTGGCTGTTGAGGCTAAGCCTCTGATGAAAGTTATTATCAAGGATAGATATATGAGGTGCTGGGATCAAAGCAGGTGGACTGGGTCTAGGTTGGACTTGGCACAGGGCTGATCTGGGACAGGTGTGCTGTCATTGGACAAATCTACAAACCTCTAGGCAGTACCTCCTTGTCAGACCACCTAGGGGTGGCAGACCACTGGTTGAGGATCAGACAGTTTATTCTAATGTGACCACTGAAAACAGCGAAAAAATACTTTTTTCTCTGTGGTGGGAGATTTACACCAACCGTTAAGTGTATTTGCAAGAAAGCGGTGTGTCAGTGGAACAATGCCCTATAAATAGTGCTCCTCAGGGCTGTATATAACTGTGCAGAGAGGCCAAGGGGGTTACCCTTTCACTAAAGCAGCCACTCACATGGCCTCATACCTCAGTCAGCCTCTGCTCCAGTTACACTGTCAGTGGCCAGCTCCCAGTATAACTTCAGTAAACTGAGCACTTTCTCCAAAACACTAATCATCAGTGGTTTTAGGGCCCGGAGTAAAGGGGAGTTGAGAGGGTCAGAAAATAAATAAATGAATAAATGGATGGATGGATAGCAGGCTCTTACCCAGTGTTCATCTCTCAGAGCCAGGGACGAGCTGGGACCCTCTGCCAAGTTGTGACCACGGCTTCTCCCATCCATTGTACTGGGCATCAAGTGTCCGCCAAACGGGTCGGAGAAACTGCGCATCATCTGCCGCACATGTTCCCTGTGAGCTCGGACTGGCTCCCTGTGGAAAAGGAAAAAAACAGATGCTCCTGAAATCATAAGAAACTTGGAGATTTATTTAATTAAACATGCAAAGTCCAAACAGAAAGACTGCTGACCCTCTGTCTGTCAGGCAACACAAGCCAACCACCTTGTCACTGTGTAGCTTCATTGCTAACTACAGCGAGCTTACGATTAAAAACAATGTTAAAAGCAAGAAGATATCCTGAAATAATTACTTCATGGCTTTCTCCCTTCACTCCATGGTGTCAGTCTGCTTCTGCTGGACACTTTCTACCTTTTATTTATTTACTCTTCATTAACATGTATGTCTCACCTCTATAAGTGATTTTCGTTTCAGCAATAACCTAAAAATAAAAAACATTAAAGCAAAATAAATGATATTTTAAATGAAAACAAATATGATTTTGAAATGTTACTTCAGTAATTAGACCATTTTAAGTAAAACATTTTATGATGACATGAAAATGAACATTAAAGTTACAGTTGCCTGTCAAAATGTCGTGTTAAGTCTCTTGGAATCGACGTTAAACAGACCGGTGCCCAATTTAGACCAGACACATTTTATTTTTTAAATATTATTATGCCCATTTTATCGACTAAATTTGATTATTTTTGCTTTTGGTTTTTGTTTACTTTCTGATTACAACCACAGTTACGGTAAAACATGACAGCAATTCAGCTACTCACGAGAAAAACGCGTCGTCGTCAATGTCTCTAAAAGCCCTGTTAAACATTTCCACGGCTTCCAAATCCGCAACTAATGAATGGAAATAAAATAGTAATTCAATAAAAACAGGAAATAAATTGGTTGTTCCGCAGGTTGAAAGAAAAATACGTG